TTCTTTATACGTACAAAATTCTTGCGAAATATACTAGAACTTTGGTTAAGATTATTCACTCTAAATAATATTCTATCAAAAAGTCATTTTTAATGGTTATTGTCTCTAAATTTACTAGCTCAAATCTGTGGGCGTTACAATTATCTCCCCTTTAGGATGATTACATCCCGAAAATCATCAACTAAACAAGGCTTGTATAATGAATCCATGCATTATATTTTCATCCTAGCAATAACCTCAATCTTATGTCTTTTCAAATGAGTTTCTAACTTTTGGACTTCTGACTGCTGATAGTGCTCAATCTTGCACCCGCTCTTCATACTATGTTAGACTTTCAATCGTAACCTTCAATCTACAAACATGATCTTTATTGGATACTTTTGATTTTTATTAACTGACTTAAATTACGATAAGTTCTTTACTTCGATAAGTTCTTTACTTCGATCACCGTAACAGACTGATGGGTGATGTTCTAATGACCTCTCATCGTATGATGCAACGCTTAGACTCAGGTATTTTAGAGTTAATTTTCAGAATGGTATATACCTTCCTTTATGTTCTAATGTGGTATAATCATATTTTATCATGTATCACTGCTAGATACAAGCTTCTTACTTTGACGATGATTGCGATACTTCTATTGATCACTTCGATTATTTTTCACTTCCATCTTCTGGATTAAGTCGGATGTTACATCGAACTTGGTTCTTTGAACCATGTAACATACTTATATTATTTAGATTCGAATTGACATAACTACTAGGGTCAGATTAACAATCATCTTCTTAGTCATTACCAAAACGATGGTAACGAAAGACATGAACAAAACAGAATCATTTACTAGCCTTGGTAACCTTGTGACTTTCCCTGATTCAAGTGTGAGTCATGTGCTTCTGGTAGTATAAGCATCTACTACCTTTCACACATACTCATACTCGTACAAAGTCTTGTCTCTTAGTTCTACAAGTTATTATCACAAAAACAAATTTAACACATACATTTGTCCAAAAAATCATAAAATTTTCCCTAGACTCTACTAGGACTTCTTCTATGTGTATCTTCAATCACCAATTCCGCTTCAACTCAGTTGGTGGAGGAAACGCCAGATGATGGGATATATTCATGGATTATACCAAAAAGCTTTCTTTCTACAAATCAAAAGTTTACTTCTCCCATACTAGATGTATTATTTATTAGATGCATTTTAAAGGCAAGATACCTCTCTTACGGTTTCTTCCGATAGGTATAATTCACTATCATCAACTTTGTTATTTCCTTTATTTGCTTAGTCTGGTGCGAGTCCTTGTCATGATGTTCCATACACCGTAATAATGGTTAGAAAATAGAAGACCTTAATTTCTAGAAATTATAATTATTATTATATATAAATATTATAATTTAAATCAATAATGTCATATAACCTTTATAGCTCCATTTATGTACTGAAACCATTATAAAACATTTATGGCTCCATTTATGTATTGAAACCATTATAAAACATTAAATTTGTGAGAGGATACTATATTGATTTTGTTAGGGCTTTCCCTAATATTATAAAAATTTTAACACAAAAAAATTATTGCAAATATGTTTTTTGTTTCAAAGTTGTATATAATATTCTTAAAACATATCTAATGGTCAAGTGATCGACCACTTTTTAATAATATAACATAAAGAAATCTGTTAACTTATTTAATTAAAATATTTAAAAAAAAATCCATTTTAAAAAGGTTTTATGTTTGTAGGATGGTCAACAAGTGTCATTGTGTCATAGCTTATTATTTTTTACTTGATTTTCGCTAACTTATTTCAAAAGGAAAAAAAAAAGTCTTCAACTATCATCTTAAATACAATAGTTTCTTTAAAAGTTTATCTTTTAACATTACATATTTATTACTAGGGATGAGCAGCGGAAGCAGGTACATGATTTCGGAACCGGAACTGTCGGTTCTGGAACTGGAACTGCCTTAGGCGGTTCTGGTTCTGGTTTCTAAAGTTTCGAAACCGCCTTAAGCGGTTCCGGTTCCAATTCTTATTTTTAAGAAACCGATACCCACTGGATACCCGCCGATTCCAGTTTCAATACCGGGTATCCGGAACCGGCGGTTAACCGGAACCGGTACCGCCGAGTACCCGCTTTTTCATAAAATATATATATATATATATATATATATATATATATATAATATATATATATATATATATTAAACATTTATATTTTGTTAATTTTGTTTTAAAAAAATAGGGCAAAAGAACTTATATCCGATTTCCTTACCTTAGTCGTTTCAGGGTTTTTGATGAAAGAAAAAAGAACACGCCGACACCATAGCCTCTCTTCTTCTCGTCACTCTCCCCTCTCAAACCAGTCATCGTTTGTTTAATCAATGCTTTGATCGCTCCCATTACGGATTAACCAGAAATACGACGGTAGTCTTCAATCGTTATGTTCAATCGACGCTTCAATCAGTCAATTGAAGGCTCAATTAGTGTTATGGATGTTGGATATAGTGTCTAAGTCCATTACTATATTTGGTATGTACTTGACCCGACCCGGCATGGTCCATTTGGATTGCACTTCACTCGAACAATTTATGGATAATATGTTGAGAATAGTACAAGTTATGATTTATTAATATATTATAAGTTCTAATATATTAATATAAGATCATATTATTTAATTAGTATTGATCTATAATTAATCTAGGATTAATTTAGAGATCAAAGATATTACTAATTAAATATGGGCTTCTATATTTATATAGTGTGGGCTAATGCTTATTTGGAATGGGCTAGGCTTGCATGGAAAAGTCCATGGATACTCCATGGAGCTTTAACCCATGGATCTCATGGAAATGAAGAGACATGAGTATTAGGGTTTACATGGATGTAACCCTAATCCACCACACTATATAAAAGAGGCTTTGGTTCTTGAAATCACACTAGTTGACACTTGTTGAGGTGAGTAAAGCAAGAGGGCTGATTTCAAGATAGTAGTGACTATTCTCTCAAAGTTCCAAGTTTGTGGTGATTTGTGATTTCCATTTGAGGCATTCACACTATTGGTGCTAGGCTCTAAAACTCCAAGCAAGCAACTACTACTACAAGGTAAATATTTCTACTAGCTTTATTTGATTCATGTTCCCCATGCCATGCTAGTTAGGATATGAACCTTGGAAAAATAATTATTTGCATGTATCTTAGACAAACATAGATCCAAGGTTTATTAGGGTTGCATGTACACTTAGGAAGTGTTAGAATGCTCAAAACCCATCAGTGGTATCAGAGCCTAGGCTTGTTTGTTTGATACTTGATGCAATATATTGGAAAAAGTCGAAAAACTTGTTGTCTGCCTGATGAACTCGCTGAGTCCATGGGGGGACTCGTCGAGTTCATGTGTATCTTCAACCTACTCGGCGAGTAGGTTCATGCACTCGACGAGTAGGAGCGACAGAGTGCAGATTTTCGACTTTAGTTGCCGGAAATGGACTAGAAACATTACCCTAAACTGTTTTTGTACTTGAAAACTTGTTTTAGATGGTGTAATGTCTTTTCTAATCCATTTACAACAACTTGTTATCAAAATTACAAAGTTTTATGTGTAATTTTTGATTCATGAATGTGTTCATATTCATGTCCTTGATCTTATGATGTTTAGATGATCATAGGAATTATTTGTAACCTATGTGGTAGTTTAATTCTTGATCATAATGTGTTTTAATGGAGTCCATAACTTGTCCTCAAGTTATGGAAAACCAAGAGTCACACTTGAATTAAAATCATTAAAAGAACACAAGAGTTAGAAAAATGAAGAGTCTTCATTTTATTACTCTATTTAACTCATAAGTTACAAGAAATGAAAAGTTTTGAAAGTTTACAAAACTTGCCCTCAAGTTTTGGAACAAGTAAAGTCATATTAAAACTTTAGTTCCAACCCTTAGAATTTTAAAAGTTAAAATTCAACCCTTATACTTATAATATTATAAGTTAATAATATATATATATATATATATATATATATATATATATATATATATATATATATATATATATATATGTATAAGATCAAAGTCGTCTTACCGCTAGTACGCCTCATTCACGAAGCTAGTCTATAAGGTGGGTATAAGGTTGTTGCCTATAAAATGGCAACTTAATGGGTGTCCACTCTCACCCACCGCTTGCTTGACTAGTGGAGGGTCGTTAGCCGAACGGTAAGACAAGGACTTATAAATTCTCATTAAAAGTATGATGAATATTATAAAGTAACTAAATGTTTTATTAAATTCCCAATCTTAGTTACTTTAGGAAAAATGTGAATAATGTGCTAATCCATGAAATTACACTTTACACTTTTTCTAAGTCGTTAGTGGAGCGTGTGTGGTTAACCGGACACACTAACTTGGACTTAACAAGGTAGGTAAAGGGTAACTTAATATTTATCATAGTATCGATGGAACGTGTGTGGTTAACCGGCACATCGATTGAGGGGTAATTTATTAAGGGTACCAAGTAATTTGCATGGTTACTTCACACCTCGTTTTGTGATCCTTGGCATCCCAGTCACAAAACTTGGAGGGCACACTCGAGATTGAAACATGCCTTTGAAAAGTTCATTGAATCTCAAAAGAATCTAGGAGTTTCTAAGAACCAAATTAAATATTTTAATATTTCGACTTTGGTGGAAATTGGTGAATCGTCATTCACCTACCTTTCAAGTATGTTATTACTTAGATTACGACATACCTCTTCTAAGTATAATATATTGTGATTGGATCCTAGCCTTAATACTACATTTGGGTGTTTTATTAAGGATTATTCCTATTTCTAAACTAAACGTTTCTTCTTCTCAGATGT